ACAGCAGCGAGAATTTTCACGCGCACACATATATATAAGAACGATCGAAAATCCAAGATGAATATCTCTCATATATAGCAGCAGCAGTGGCGCGCCGGGGATCGTTGCGCAGAGCGCACATCACACGAAGCACTGCACAGCTCGTTTACGCGTGCGCTCGTAAATCTGCACTTTGTCGCGCCATAGAGAGCGCATAGCACGTGTGTGCGCGAGAGAGCTGGCGCAGCGCAGCGCATCTACGGACACCGCCGCCACGACGTTATAACGATGATGATTTTTACCTCTTCCTTTACTCACTCTCGCGCCTCTTCTTCCTCTCTAGCCTGTGTGTGTAACTAGCTTGAGCGAGCTTTGATTTTTTTTTCTTCATCCCATGATCTCAACGTGTGTGTCGCGCGCTTACAACTACGGGACACATAAACAAGCACGAGTCGAGCTCTTTTCTCTCTTCTCTGTCTCTCTCTCTCTCTTGGGCTCAGCTATGTCCTATGAATTTTATCTGTATCGCACTGGAATTTCACGCAAATATACACGCTGGTCTCTCTCCACTTGTGCGCCCACAATTGAGAGATTTGAGCTCTACATGCACTCCGAGTGCAGGCGCGACTCCGGAATATAATGCCACAATCTGAGAAATGAGCTTATGCGCATAAAGCAAAAGCGAGCAAAATATAATCTTCCTCTCGCTCTCGTCGTATGCAAAACAACGGAGAGAAGAGAGCTAGCGCATATCCGACCGGTCGATCTCTTAAAGACTTGGACAATGTAGCTAGATAGAGCAGCAGCAGCAACCCCGCATACGTATAAATATATACCTGTGTTTTTAGCCTAGGCGATGTTCGCGCATTGTATTACATACACACAAATATATGCGTTTTTCCGGCTATATAGTATATGTATAAAGAGAGAAAATAAGATGTATCTTTCGCTAGCGAGCGAGCCTTTACACAGTGGAACTCGCTCTTTACGAGATTATTTTTCCGCCCAATCTTCGTGGAGCATATATTTAAGCCAAACGGTATTTTCTCAAAATTATCTCTATTCCTATACCCCCTTTTGCAGAAATCGATTTAAGTAAGCGATGAGAGAGAGGCTGCAGTATTATGCTCGAATCGTGTCAATCAGCTGGTAATAATACACACTTGCCCGCGCGCATGATAATATACAACAAGGAAGTTGTATACGAGGCCGACCTCACGTTTCTCCTGCATCCTATATAGGATACGTGTGTATACAACGACAACTTGCATAACAACAACCGAGGGGAATGTAAGAAATACCGAAGCGGTGCAACTCTCTTTCTTTCTCTCTCTCTCTCTCTCTCTCTCGCTCTCTTCCTCAACTTCGTGTTTTCCGTAGGCGTATGTAAGTTCCTTTGACATCTTGCATACGTATAGATACACATGCGATATACATACATCTATACGTAAAAGTCTCACCTCGTTTTTACCCGGTGCAGTGCACGCGCGCGACACGCGAAAAAAAGTCAAAAGATAGTCATCGTAGCTTGTCCCATTGGACTTTTCTAGTTAGATGAGTATCTCTCTCTCCGTGGCTGGAGTCTCTGTGTGTGAGCATCGCGCTTTAGGCGAAACGATTAGAACGACTGAAAATGCATATTCTTAGTTAGTTAGTGGTGGTAGCGACTGTAGCCTAACATTTTTTCGGGCGTCAAATACCGATCACGAGTTGTGTGCCACTTTGCGGCCGCCGTTATAATACAATCTGCGTCAAATTGACCGACCGTACAATGTTAAAAGCGAATTTTAAATCGAATGCAGATTTAATTTAAATTTCGATTTTTATTCAAGTTTTTTGTATATGAAATTTTTGTTAAAAATTTATGTATGAGTTCTGGTTCATTTTTTTTACATTAACTGTATAATGATATAATCACATAAATTATCGATAATTTAAACATTTTGATTAAAAATCAATGATCATTTAGTATTCGCGTTAATTATACAAAAAATTATATGAAAATTCAATCATAATTAAAGCCAGATTTCACTACTAGATGGCGAGTACCTCTGTCTTTAAATCTCTGTAAGTGACACAGTCAAAATCCTATATATTACTTTTGGAAACTTTTTAAACGTTCTTGCTTCCTCAATTGTTATGATTTCGATTTAAAATAAAAAAACATATATATGCATATATATACATATGGGTCATATCAGAAATGAGTTGATAGGTCCAAACATGACCTATTAACTAAATGCATTTCTTAAAAGTTCATGAAAAAACAAAACTTTTCATGCGTTTAAAAAGTGCCATGGTTCCTTCCTTCAAAATCTACAGCTGCTCGAAGTTAGAATCTGAAAACTAACTTTTTTCTCCATAGGCCCAATGTAGCTCTGAAAAATAAATCAAACATATTATTTTTATGTATTTTTTGATAAGGAATTCATTGGTGATATGTAAAAAGTGATTCAGATACTCTTACACCATTAAAAATAAAAAAAATGTATTTTAGGCCCAAAATAGATGTGTTCGTCCTCTTGGATTTGCCTAAAATTAATAGAGTATCATTACAACATCAAATTAAAGTCCTCTACCAAGTGGCATTATCGGTTGGCCAATATCAAGGAAGATATACTATGAAATGTGTCTATCATTCACTTTTACATCATGATAGACTGAATGTCGACTATCAATACTGCCTAGAGCAATGAACAGCATTAAAAGCAAGCTAGAAACACTAATTTATCTTTTTAAAATCCAATCACAAGTACTTTCTGCACAGAGTTCATATTCAATACCACCCCCTAAACCATGGCCCTAAATTATGTGAAATTTTACATCATTCCGAATATAGGGCCAGTAAATGAGCTAGACAGTAATTTTGACCTCTCTAACTATACGAAGGTCATCTTTCAGAACTAAGGTACTCGATTTTTACTTGTAGAATATTCAAATCTTAGTTGCAGCTTCGCTATAACAATAGTTGCACACGAAAATCGTAATAGTAAAATAAAGTGTCCCCTCCGTGATCGACAAGTTTTCGAGCTAGCACTTTTTGTTTTTGACTCTGGTGGCATAAAAACGTTCGTTTTTACAAACAATTTTTGTGGGTGATTGGAAAAAAAATTTTCAACTTTGTTGTCGACGTGAAATTTGATAAAAGTACGATTTGTCCTCTCCGTGAGTGTCCCCTCCGTGACAAATTTTTATGTTTGCAATAAGGAAATAAACGGATTAGATGATGACCGGTAAAAAGTAAATATTCCATAAAAAAACAAAGAATCAAGTGTCAGAAACTACGGGGGTCCGGAAAAATTAAACTAAAAACTAAGAAAAAAAAACTAAGAAAACAAGTTTTTCAATTTTTCCAATATTGCCCATTTTACCCACTCCAAATATCACACTTTTGAAATAATGCACCATATACATATATCTATTATCTATCACTATATAGTTGTAAGAGTCTCCACACCTGATTTCCATAGCTCCTCCACATTTACCAAACTTTTTATGGCTCGAATTATGTACAGTAAAGATTAGAAAGAGTAAAATTGTCAATGAACATGATTCTATTATATTCTTGAATTATTTTGAATTAAATATATCCATGACCAGTTACACGGTAGTGTATTCAAGACGAGAAGGTTATTTTGAATTAAATAAATTATGACCGATTACATTACTGTATTTAAGGCGAAGACGCAGAGATGATATTTCCATGTACATGATTATATTCTATTATATCTCAACATCTAATATTGTTTAAAATTTAAATATTTCATAAATATGCCTCATAATATTCTTACAACTTCTTACAATTTCTTTGAAAAAATCTAAAACCGAGCTGGGGTTAGCGAGCGAGGAATGACGCTAGTAATTGTATGAATCAAAGGTTTTAATATATTTTATAATTTAAATGAATTGAAATTATTTCTAAATACAGTATTACTATTAAATTTAAATTTATAAGTTCAATATAATAAACAATTAGCATTAGATATGTAAAACGAAACCGTGAAAATTAATTTGAATTAAAAAATTTAATATAAAACAACTCAAATCACATTCATTTTAATAATCTCACATTAATCTAATTTCATATCTCAAAGTAAAATATACTTTCTTGACTTTTACATTAATTTAAATATTAATACTTTTAAAATTGTCATTCCTGTGACTAACGGCCAGTGCTGCCATGTATAGATAGCGTTTTGTTTAATCTTCAATAACTTGTATAAGAAATAATAAAGAGAACAACAACGTGTCCTCAAGCTTGTAATGCTTACTGGTAGTAAATTATAATCCTCGGCTAAATTATGACGGATGAGTTGTTTTTGCAAACATCGGTTATAAATAAATATTACACATACGGCGCACGCGACGAAGCTAAGTTGAAAAATATGAGCGGTGCGCAATGCGTAAATAATGAGTAAGAAACAAGGAATGTATTCTTTTTTTTTGGATTTTCATCAGTTTTATGCATCTAATACGCGCACCGAGTGCCTATCGAGAGGATATAGAAATAAAAACAGAGTCCTAGTATGCAAGATGGTATGATGAAGATGGATAGCGAGTTTCGTTTAACGATGACGAGAAATATACGAGAGAGGGGTAGGAGGAGAGGCTCATGTGCCATGCATAGGTGTCGGCGCGTGTAAATGCCTTTAATTGAATGTTCTTGAAACACTTGAGGATAACGACCTCCTTAAACGCGCGTTATAATAACTTTGCGCGCGCGCGTTTAAGCGAGCAATAGTTGTTAACGCAGTTCTTACACGCACGAGATTATATACGGGCTGTTGTGCGTGTGCAGCGCGTGCGCGAAGAGAGAAAGACATGGGTTATTATTACACGGTGCTCTCAGCAACATTGCACGATTATTGGCGATCGCGACGACGATAATGTCGATGATGAATCAATCATAATTTTCCGCAAATTTATATAATGTTAAACTCCCGGTATGAATGAGCGATTACAATTATTATTGCCTCCATCAAAACTGTTATTTTCATATTAAACCTTTTTTGTGTTTCTAGGTACTTTTTTGGGAAAAAAATATCGTTACTTCGACGTAAATTACATAGAGGCGCATCACCACCATGCTGCAATTACAGTACTTGTTCTGCGTATGGCTCGCAGCGGCCGTACTACTTTTCCGACCTGCTCAGTCCAGTAAGTGGCAAATTCATTTAATAAATTACAAAATAGCGATTAGCTGTTTCGCTGGAGCTTGTTGCATGCATTTCATTACATCGTCGACACCTCCTAGATCTCGCGCACAAGAGAAGTGTGTGTGTAGCTATTAAATTTTCTCGACTTCTTTTTTTATTTTAAATAAATATATATGGGGTGCACATGAAAACTTTAAACGTAATTAAAATTCGCTCACGCGATAAATTCAACTGATTAGGTACAAACACATATAGGTATATATATCGCGACTTAGCGATCTCGCGAAACACAGCTGTACGCGCGGCCAAAGCATCAAGCCAGCGTAGGCCAAAGAAGAAGAAGCAGCAGCAATGGCAAAGCAGCTTTGCTAAAGGGAGGCAGCACACATCCAGGGCGCGCCATGTATTTCTCTCTTTCGCATCGGCCAATTACCGGTAGGCGTTTGCACGCGTCTCATAGGATAACTAGTAGTAGTAGTAGTAATAGTCGTAGTTGTTGTAAAGCCACGTAGCGTACGTGCCCACCGTGCCACACCACGTAGGATATACCCTTCGCGTAGCAGTGCAGTGTACTTGTCGTCAAACTGGTTTTGCCCTCTCTCGCTGCGCGCACGAAGCTTTTTTACCGCAGACGCAGTAGACACTGAGTGTGTTTGTATATACATTTTAAAAGGAGGAGAAAAAATAGCAAAAGCTTTTATAGAAAAGAAAAGAGAAAGATTACGTCCATGGAATCTGATATAAGAGAAGAAGAGGATTATTGGATATACATGGCCTACCATCGACTAGACATCTTTTTTCGTTTCTTGGGTAGTCCACCTTTTTTGCTCATCGGTTGCATCAAATACCCCCACGAGCATACATATTCACTCGAATATCCTTTTTCGTTCAACAAGTTTCGTTTGTGACTTTCATCATATGTCATCTCTCATACTACCACAAAGTGCACGGGATTAGTTAGCGATATAACGATATTCTATTTTTTGTGCTTTACATGTTTGCTTCACAAGTTAAAAAAAATTGAAATATTTCTCTTGTATGATATGAACGTTCAAATTTACATGATTTTATTTTTATTACAGATGACTACGACTATGAAAACGAAATAAATGACTTTTATCGCAAAGACGGCAGCAATCAGCATCATTCAGGAAACAGTGGCGTTTCATCTTTCAGATGCCAACAAGAAGGATTTTACGAAGATCCAAACGATTGTCGAACATTTTACAGATGCGTTGACTGGGGAAACGGAATGCCATTGACCCCATTCAAATTTGAGTGCGGTATTGGTACTGTATTTTCAATGAAAAAGGGAAACGTTTGTGTTCGACCGAAAGATAGTGGTCGACCTAACTGCTGTGAGCCTGATAACGAGATAGAATCGAATGAACCTGGAGGTGGCAGTGACGAATGGAATCAAGAGGTTGATATCCCACAGCAACCTCAACCGAGTTATCCACAAGAACCTCAAAGCCCCGAACGACCATATCCACCAACGCAACGACCAACTCCACAGAGACCTACTTATCCATCGCAGAGGCCTCCGGCTTATCCACCCCAGAGGCCTGAAAGTCCAGATTATCCTTATCCAGGGTATCCTCCACCACAAGAACCAGAATTACCAAGTTACGCCACTCAAAGTACTCAGAGGCCTCAAAAGCCTACGTTCCCGCCAACACAGAGACCTACATATCCATCAACTCCCCAAAGACCCAGTTCTCCATCAACTTTCCCGTCAACGCCTCAAAAGCCTAGTTCGCCATCAACTTTCCCCACAACGCCCCAAAGACCTAGTTCACCGTCCACTTTTCCGACAACTCCACAGAGGCCAACTACTCCACAGCAAACTGCTCGACCAACAACGCAACAACCAAGACCAACTCAACCAGGTTTGGTTCCGGAGCAACCTACGAATAAACCAGTTCAACCCGGTCTATTCCCACCATCACCAACCAACAGACCATTCCAACCTAGTCTTCCTCCTAGGCCAGGTTCTCAAACTCAAAATCCTTCCAGTCCATCTCACGGTTGTGACAGCACTGGCGGATGCGCTTCATCTCCAGGATGTTCACAAGAAGGTTTCTTCCCAAATCCTGAAGATTGTCACCAATTTTACCGATGCGTATCTGAAGGTGATCGTTTAGAAAGATACGATTTTTCGTGTGGTTCTGGAACAGCATGGGATCAAGACCTTCAAACCTGTAATTATGAAGATAGCGTGGCAGCTTGTGGAAGTGGAGGAGCTGGATCTGGATCCAGCCGTCCTCCAGGCCCAGGTCCACAACCTGGAACTGGAAGCTCACCACAACAACCTTCTTATCCACCTTCCGGACCATCTTATCCTTCGCAAGGACCATCATATCCAACTCAACAGCCATCTTATCCATCACAGGGACCATCATATCCAACACAGCAACCTTCTTATCCATCACAAGGACCGTCATATCCTTCATCTAGACCACCTCAAACTCCAAATCAAACACCTTATCCCCCAACCCGTCCAACTCCTCCCCAATCACGTCCTACACAAGGTCCATCTAGTACAAATGGACCATCTTATATTCCTCCTCAGCAATCTTCGACAGGTCGTCCATCATCAACGGGCCGACCAACTTATATTCCTCCTCAGCAATCTTCAACGGGTCGCCCACCATCAACAGGCGATTCAGGTTCTCCTGGTGCTCCTGGTACAGGTGGCAATCCTTGTTCACCATCTGGTCCTGCTAGTGCTTGCACCGATGAAGGCTTTTTCCCTAATCCAGATGACTGTCACAAGTTTTATAGATGTGTTAATGAAGATGGATCTTTTGGCCGATACGATTTCCAATGTGGACCTGGCACTGCTTGGGATCAAGAATTACAAACGTGCAATTACGAAAATGATGTTGCAAGTTGTGGAGGTTCTGGAAGTACTCCACCTCAATCTGGCTTAGCTCCAGGAAATCAACAAGGCCCAGGAACAGGATATCCTGGATCTGAATCAAGCCCAAGTGGACAAACACCAGGGTCTGGAACAGGACCAGGAGGTTACCCTGGACAGCAACCTCCTCAGCAACAACCAGGAGGTTATCCAGGTCAACAAAATCCTCAGCAACAACCAGGAGGTTATCCAGGTCAACAACCAGGATCTAGTCCAAACCCACCTGAATCTAGTCAACCTACTCAACAACCAGGTGGAGGTTCTACAAGACCACCTCAGTCACAAAGACCTGGAGGAAGCGGTTCTTGTCAAGAAGAAGGATTCCACCCACACCCAAATAACTGTAAAAAATTCATTCGGTGCGTCAGTAATGGTAGAGGATTTACCAAGTACGAGTTCGATTGTGCTCCAGGAACAGCTTGGGATCAAAATTTATTAACGTGCAATTACATTCATCTGGTAGAATCATGCGGACAACAACAAAATGAAATTGAACAAGGAAGTCCGCCACCATCATCAGGAGGCCAAGAAGGTACGTCTGGTTCTCCGCCGGTAGGTAGTTCAACTGAACCACCGGCAGGAGGTTATCCCACAAGACCTCCTGCGGCAGAATCGTCTAGCCCACAACCTTCTAGTACAGAAAACCCTGAGGAACCTGAGACAACTAAAGAACCTGGTTCTACAGATTCAGAAAGTACGTCAGAAGCAGGAGCACCTTCATCAACCACACAAGCTCCTGGAAGTGCTCCAAGTTCTTCTACTGACAGCTCTAAACCAGATTGTAATACCCCTAAACCCAATAATACAATTGTATGCAATGAAGCAGGATTTTATCCACATCCAACTAGATGCGATAAATTCTATCGATGTGTAGATAATGGCAGAGGATTCAATGTATACCACTTTGATTGCCCACCTGGAACTATTTTCGATCCCAGTCTTGATGTTTGTAACTATCCAGAATCTGTTTACCCAGCAAGAAATTGTGAAACAGGAGATTCAACAAGTAGTTCTCAAGAGCCCTCTCAAAGTCCTTCCCCTACAACTCAATCATCTGTAACCACAACAAAAGCACCAGAAGGTTCTACTACCCCGAAAACCGAAGGAACAACTGCTGGTGGTAGTCAAGAATCGACTACTTCTCCTTCAGTTGAAGGCACGACGTCAGAAAGTGCTCCGGAGGGGTCAACTATGAATCCTGAAGCAACTACAACTGGAGCAGAAGCTACAACTATGGCTGGTGAGTCTACCACAGTATCGGGAGAAATGACCACAGCAGGTAGTAACATGGAAACTACAACTCAAAGTGCAACAGAAGCAACAACATCTGCAAATGCAGAGACGACAACTGCAAATCCTGATCAACAGCAGACTACGACAGCCGCTTCAAACCAAGAAACGACTCCTGCAGGAACAACAGACTCACAAGAATCAACCACACAATCGAGCTCTAGTGATAAGCCGCCATCTATAGAAAACTGTCCGACTTTAGCAAATCTTACCGACGAACAAATAGTATTAGTTTGTCCAACTGGTTTCAAGAGACATCCTAAATTGTGCAATTTGTTCTACCAATGTTCATCAGCTGGAATGGAAGTGAAGATTTTACTTCTTCAATGTCCTGAAGGTACCATTTTCGATGAAAAAGAAAATAAATGTTTGTCAGAAGCAGAAAGTTCCATGCCATGTATGGGAGGTATCGCCGATAAAAGAACTACAAGAAGGAGGCTTGCTGGACAACAGTCTTCCAATTTGGTAAGTTGATATTTTATTTTTACTTTTTAAGCGCAGAACAAGTAAAAGTTGTTTTAATTTTCATTTTACATTAACAGATTGAAGTATCGACAAAGCCTCTGTGCCCGGAAGAAGGACATTTTCCTTACAAAGATGGCTGCAGTAATGTATTTTACAAATGTGAACGGGACTCGAGATATGCTCTGCAAGGATATCTATACAAGTGCCCAAAAGATTTCGTTTACTGGTCCGTATCGAGACGATGTGAACGAGCGTCCAGATTACCCATGTGCGCCGGTATGTCAAACGAAACCGAAGAAGAGAATGAAGCATGGGCAAATCGATGGGAAATACCAATTGAAGACCGCAATTTATCTGCCAGATCGATACGTCTTTAAGTTGTTATAAGTTTTTACAGTCACGATAAAATGAGTTTACATGAATCTTAGATGTTTTCAATCAAAATTTGCTGTTAATTATAATAAGGGTTCAAAAAGTACTTGAATTTTTAAAACTTTTTATATTTACAATTAGTCTGTATAAGAAAGTGAAAGTTGAAAAACGTTGTTTTCGAAGAAAAAGTAGTAGGTCTTTTCCAACGCCACAATTTGAAGTTTTTTGTCCAGTAAGATTCGTAAAAACATTTAAATACATTGTTTTAATATTTTAATTTATAGATCTTCAACGCTTAGCTTTTGTTATTTTTAAGTTGCCTTTCGCAAGATGTTGAGTCATCCGACGAGTTATTATAACAATATTTTAAACTGTTTACATGCATTTTTGTACGTGTTCTTCGAAAACAAATTTTTCTAACTTTTACAGTCTAATCTTGTAATTGTAAATATGAAAACTTTTAAGACTCACTTTTGATCCCTTAAGTGTTAGTTCTGCTTTGAAAATCAAAATCCATTGAAAGTAAAGCAATGATACAAAATCAAAAGATACCAAATCGTAAATGTGAAGTCAGGTGAAAATGTAATGGTACTTGTATCCGAGTCATAATTATGATATCAAATAGTTAAGAATGGAACATTTATAATATTTACACTTTTAAATACTTTTGATATGTTATTTCTTAAAATAAGTGAAAATTGTGCCGGAAAATTTATAGACAACAGGTACAACAAATGAAGCAATAAAGACGGCGATATTTGCTTACATTAATTGTAAAATTACGATTAATAGATGAGCTTAACGATGCAATGCAGTATTGCAGAAAATCCGTGCGCGTATGTTTATGTCAATGTGAATTAAAGTACTCACTTGTATATATACTGCAAATTATTTAGATAGGACAACAATGTTTAGATTTAAGAATTTATAGCAAGTAATAACAATGATTAATAATAATAAACTAGGACAATAACGAAGAAAATTAATATTAGTTGCGTATAAGTACAAAATAAATACTTATTAACGTGGCTACGCTTTTCTCTTTTATTAATCTTAATTATCAGTAAAAGTGTGAAAATAAAATGTGCGATTTGTAAAAAAAATATACTTGGTTCCTCTCGTTATCCTTTCTTCAAACAACCATAATCTTTGCTTCAACGCCAGGATTTTCTACTTAGAAACCAATATGAAGCAGGTACTGAGGAAAAGATTCAACTGATAAATGGATAACTGAAAGAATGGTTCAACAGCAATATTTAAAAGAATTTTGAATTGAATGTGAAACTTTGTTAATACTTTATTTTATATCTAAAACAACAGGTAAAAGGTGTTATAAAATTATATAGCTTATTTATTTTACTGTTGAAGTCTTCATTGGATTCAAATATTTGGATCGATTCTCATACTCTAAGAATTTGCTCCTACTATGAACTGCATTGGGGTAAATTTCAAGACTACCTTTTTGTCCAAATGATTTTTGACAAATGCTGCTTTCGAAGGGGCTTCTCTAATCATGTACTGCATTTATGTGAATTTTGAGGGTACCTTTTTGTCCGAATGATTTTTGACAAATATCACATTCAAAAGGTTTACTCCGATCATGTATTGCATTTATGTGAATTTTGAGGGTACCTTTTTGTCCGAATGATTTTTGACAAATATCACATTCAAAAGGTTTACTCCGATTATGTACTGCCTTTCTGTGAGCTGTGAGGTGACTATTTTGTCCAAATGATTTGTGAAAAATATCACACTTGGAGGGTTTTCTCTGATCAAGTACTGCATTTATGTGAGCTTTAAGGTTACCTTTGCGTGTTAAAGACTTTTGGCAAATTTCACATTCGTATGTTCTTATGTTTTTAAATGTTGGGTTGATATTCGTATTTAAGCTCGCTTCTCCGTTGTATTTTTTTTACACACTTTTCCCGCATAAGATGATTTGTTTTGGAGTTCTTTTCTAATTATTTCAAGTTTCTTTCATAGATCATTTTTCAATCTAGAATTTACTTCAAAGTGACAATTATTATGATAATCGAAATCTTTTTTGATCAAAATGGTCAAATCTTTATCAATCAAATAATTATTCTGAACTTGATTTTCTATTTTCACAATAGTTGGATAATTCTGAAACTCAGTTTTACAGATGTTTTTTGATAAATACTTTGTTGTAATTAAATTTTGTTGTAAATACTCCAGAGCTAGTGTTTTACAAAAGCGTAGAAACTAAAGCAGAGTCACAAACTGCGCAACATTTAACCGATCAAATTTGCAGCGTCGTTGAAGAGATAAATCCGAATAAAACCATAGCTGTAGTAACAGATAATGCAGCTTATTGCAGGAAAGGGTGGGAATTGGTAGAGCAACTTCATGCACACAATCCAATCTTTGGTTATGGATGCGCTGCTCATGGGTTTAACTTGCTTTGCCACGATATATTAAATGAAGTTTCCGCTAAAGATATAATGCAAGACAGTGTAAAAATCGAAAAGGCGATCAAGCCATCTAATATCTTGACCACCGCATTGAAAAATGTACAACAATCGGATGAAAACGAGCGAGTTTTGACGTTGAAATTGCCCGTTAAAACACGGTGGGGATCATCTCTCGATTGCTTGACTAGTCTCAACGTCAACCGCTCTTGTTTACAAAAACAAAACTAGACTTCGTCGGGATGTCAAAAATTTAATTTTAGATTCTGATGATAACTATTGGTGGAAGGTTCGTAATTTGATCAGTTTATTGCAGCCAGTTGTTGTGTACTTAAAAAAAATAGAAGGGAACGAATCATGTATACACAACGTGTTTTAATGAGTTGAAGCAGTTAATAAATCAGGTCTTATTATACACCACGCCATTAATCATGAATTTTGATGAAGCCCAAAGTGTGCTTAAAAATCTAGATGAAAGAGTCAAATTTATTTTAAATCCCGCACATTATGCAGCTAGTATTTTGAATCCAGCTTCAAAAGGGAAAACATAGTCCGCCGAAAACTACACTAAGGGGTATGAATTAATTGTGAAAACTGCGAGCAAAATGGCATCGATAAAAATAAACTACTAATACAATTGGCTCAATACACAGCTGGATCAGATTTCTGGGCAACTGAACATGTGCAAAAATCGGTGGCTTTAGTTTCAGTAGTTGACTAGTGGAAAGGGCCTTGTTCTTGCACAGTAGTGAGTAGAGTGGCTGTTGCAATTTTAAATTTGCCATGCTCGTCAGCTGCAACTGAGCGCACTTTTAGCGCTTATGGCTGGATCCACAACGCTAAGAGAAATCGTTTTACAGCTGCTCGAGCGAGCAAAGTGACATACATCACTCACAACTTGAAATTATTGAATCCAAAAAAGAAAAAAGGTATATGCGATTTGGAGTCTGAAGAAGAAGACGATGAAGAATGTGACATCGACAATTATGTGATGGACGAAAATGACCAATCGGTTTGACATTTATCGTCGGTACTGCAAAATGAAGATTATGTGCAAAAAATCCCGTGTCGCTCTTGCGTTTATCTCAAGACAGCGCTGCATGCGAAATTCTGGTGTTGACTTTGCGAAGTTCGTTTGAATACCACAGTGAATTCGCATCGAACGCAGCGCTGCAAAAATCCCGTGGTCACACTTCGGAATATCTCTACATTTTTCTCTCCGTGTAGATTGACAGTTAGCAGCACAGGCACTCGTATAGAGTCGGCTCGCGTCGGGCGTCGTCGTCAGTGTCAGCCAATCAGAGGTCGTTTTACGCGGCTTCACTTTTCGGCCGTTCTCTTTTTTATAAGTAGAAAATAAATATTTCTCGCTTGTCACATGCCCGACATATTTCCGTCGCGTCTAAAGACATATGCTTAATTTCAAAATGTCCGGTCATTCTACAACTCCAGGTTAACACTCTCTTAACAGTGATTTCTAATAACTTGCGTAATTCAGGTAAAGAATTTAGATCTTATCCACAGCGACTGAACCTACTGGCTACTCGTAAATTAGCGAACTTCCTTTGTGATTTTCCCCGTTCACTGTCGACTTGCCATACGCATTAATGTTTTGCAATCTACAAACAAAGTTAGGCACTCACATCTCATGGAAACTACATCACAATTGCAACGAAAGAATTTGATTTATTAAGGTGCACATTTAATAGACATGTAGAGATCGCGAGAATTTCCATTCCGCAGAAAAGTGCGGATTTGTATAGTGAATACAAAAATGTAGGTATTTGTACTGACAGTGGGATTGATTAACGAACCAAAATAATGTCACGTCACCCTTATTTTATTATAAACAATTATAATATTCGTAAAAATAATGTATATTCAAATAACGATAAACATGAAATTTCACTCTACGAACGGACGCGCCAGCCTCGATCTACGGGATCTGACGACATCAAGCTAAGTAGAAAACAAAGCTATAAAATTGGTAAAAACATCGAGTTCTATGAAAAGAACATCGAAATCTACACCTCTTACAAAGGTGTGAAATAGACACGCCATACAAAGCATTGATTAAATTTGAGGCGATGTCAGTTTAGCAGGAATATCAATGAACTCGTAAAAATTAGCAAAAGCTGTCGTCAGGTTCTCACGGATGAGCAGGTGCTGACAGGTACTTTCTCTTAATTTTGCATGCGAAATCTAGTAGTATATATTGAGGACCCACGGAGGCCTCTGCGCGATTCGATTATCAACTTGTTTGGGGTGCGGAGCTCACGTCACTTTGTGCCGCGATTTTATATCATTTAGACTTGTATTAAATTGTGCCGCGAGTCCAATGCGGAGTGTAATTTGTGATCGAGACTAGTGCAGTTGGTGCAGTGCAGCCGACCAGGAGCGCCAGCCAACCAGTTGCAGAGTGAGCCATGATCTACACCGAGAATCGTCCACCAGGCTTATGTACATTATTTTTAATTAGTTGAGTAAGCCTAGGTGTAAGTTAAACTTTTGTATCTGAATGGATGAATGAAATTGCATTGTAATTTATTATAACAAATAATAACGACTACACCACTCCACACAAATCAATCACATCGAGGAGCGCGTGTCGCGCTCCACCTGGCAAGTATGACAGGAACTAAGTGACGACACGCCGCTACTCATATACAGCCCATACCTATCCGCCAACTTTCTTTTGGCTCTCATTTGAATTTGATAAGAGTTATCAAAAATCTGATAAGCCCATCAGATTCCTTGGAAAAAATCCTATCAA